AAAAAAATAATCTTTTCTTGTAATTATAGGGCTTGTGTGCCTAAAAGCTTTTCATCCCTTCCCCTCCTTCCCAGCTGTATATAGTTACTCTAATAAAAGCTATTACATCTCTGTATAAACTACTCCTCAGTCTCAGACCCCCGTATCTATAGCTACCTTTCTATTACRATTTGCATTAAGCTTTCAGAACCATTTAAATTTTGTTCTAATCATCTCTCCTCTCAACTGCGCCAAAAACTCTTTGTAGCTCAATCATTAAACCACACATTTAAAATCTAAATCCTGCTGCTCCAAATCAAGAAAGCATCTTCTTCCAATAGTTTTATCTCCAACATAAAATCAACAAAACTCAATTTTATGATGTAGATTTTTTTTTTTTTTTTTTTTTTTATAAAACCAATCTGGATGAAAGAGGGTTATAATCTCTCAATATCAAGTAGAAATACTCTCATTGTTTTATAGTAGATTAAGTCCAATGGCAATTGGTATCTTGAGGTCTACCGACAGTATATGTCACTATTCTTTGCTTAAATCTATTTACCTCCAGAATTAACCTGACATCTGTTGAGGGATATATTTCTATACATTAAACTTTAGACTCACTCCAAATAGTTCTGTATGTGCCCTTGAAATTCAAGGGATAACATTTTTTTAAACACTTATTCACGATGGAAAAATGCCACAGGAAAATGATTTCACATTCATTGGTTTCTCAACACTTCACAAACACATGTTTTTAGTGAGATACAGTACAAACTATTTAACCCTAGGGCAGACAACCAGAAAACTATCCACAATTTGATCCTGGTAAAAGGAATTCTGAAGCTGTGCACTGTGCACTTGAATTTCCAAGGGAGGTTCCTCTTGCAGCAGCAACCCTGCACAGCCCCATCTTTACAGGAATTCTGCCCTCCTGGTTCTCTGGAGCACAACCCCCTTCTCTCTGCCTTCCCTTGCAGGAAAACTACAGATGAGACAGACACCAGAGCTGTAACCCTTCTACTGGAGGAATCATTTCAACTCCTTATCTCCTTAAACATTTTATCTAGAAAGATTTAAGAAATATCTGTAATAAAAGAATAAACAAGCTTTGCTACAAACTTCCTAGTTTGTGGCAGGAGAGTAATAAGCTTCTCAGGTGATTAAAAATACCAGTGAATCAAAATCTGCTTTTACGTATTTTGCCATCCAACCACCTCGCAACATCTTCCTTACCTTAAAAGGACTAAAATCAAGTTGTTAAGATCCCATCCTGACAGTGCAGTGCTAACAGAAAGTGAGTATTAAAATAAATGCTAACATGCACCTTCTTAGAAAGGTCTYGGAAAAGAAATTGCGTTTATAGATTCTTGGACAAGTACAGGGGCATGAATGACAGAAAATGAAAGATTTAAGAGCCGTCTCATTGTTATTTTTTAAAATGTGTTCCATGAGGACAGTAAATACATTTTAATCCAAAAACTAGCTTATGAAGTATTTTAGCTCAATTTAAAGAAAAGAAATTCATGTATGTCAATAGGTAATGCCATGTGCACGTAACCTCTGAAGACCCAAGTGAGCTGCCCTTCCAACTAATGATCTAGACGGTGCTGCCTGATATTAGGATAGCACTTTTAAACAGAAAAGGCTGAGATAACTTGACTCATGGGAGTCTCCAGAAAAATAAACATTTCTGCCACAATTCATTCCATACCTCTTAAGAAGTTCAAGATCCCTCTTAGGTAAGGGTCACCTAACAAGATGGACAGGACTATCTGAAGATATAGGGAAGTTTTGGGAAGCTTTTGCCCGTTGTGAGAACTTGACATGTTGCAGCTGAGTACCGGCTGCAGTGGCTTCCTCTGGCTGCCCTACGGAGCCCTTCCAAGTCCCAGCCACCACTTTCCTGTACATTTATAAAGCAAGTTCAGAGCTTCAAAGAGCTTCAAGTGTTAAGCCACTGAAAGAGATTAAAAATTAAATAAAGAAGCTGGCCAACTCTTTTTGGGCAAGCAATAAAAATGATACAGTGCAAGATAAAACACTCTATTCTTCTTTATTTCTTTCTTTGGAGTTGTGATAACGCCTTTTGTTTTGTTTTTAAAGGGACTTCATGAGTACACTTTTTTTTTTTATTTTACTTACTTTTTACTTCACATCTTATGCAGCTAAACTCTACTTTTGATAGAGGTTGATTCCAACTGCAAATGGATRCATCACCAGTACAGAACTTGTATATTTTAGTCACAGGTGTCAAAGGCTTTTTACTTCTTGAAAACCTAGTTCAGACCTTCCTTCCACAGATTTTAAGCACTGCTTGCTGGAACCTCTGCTGCAGGACTGCAGGAATACTTAAATACACATAAATCCCAATTTCTTGGTTGCAATAACATGGAAAGAGCTATGGCTTGGAGGGCAGTTAGAGGCATTTGGTTCTAGCAAATTCCCTAATCTTTTACATAGGAGGCAAAGTGCTGGCCCAGGAATTATTTTTTAGACTCCAGGTTCTAAGACTATTTACCAGCTCTGGAATAGCATGTAGGAAAAACTACCCAATATGCCTGAGAAAATCTGGTTAGATGGTATCAAAATAAGAACACATTTGTTACCAGACGACAAATGTACACAACTCTGACCCAATTCTTACCATCTCACTCGAATCTTCCCCTTATCCAGTCCTACTATAGTTACTCAGTTGTATTTTACTGAAGATCGAGAATTCAGCTACTTGTGTTAGCCTAGGGGCTGCAGGGGCAAATTTTTAAAAGCAGCAGCTCTGACTAGTTTCCAAACAAGCATCCAGTGGACATCCCATTTGCACAAGTGGCAGGACACTGTGAGGGGCTGGGATTCGGGGTGTACAGCTCCATTTAACACATTAGAGTGCTGCCTTGGCTAAACCCTTGAGATTCTCTTATATCAAACAGCCTGAGTAAAACCAGTTGACCACCATAATCAGCAACACATGATAAAAGTACATGTTGAAAGGTAATCCGTGCCTAATATGCAACCACTCCTAAAAATAGAAAGTGACCCCAGATTTAATCATCTTTGCTGAATATTATTTCACAAGAAAGGAAAACAGAGAATCAATCTGGTGACCAACAGGAGAAGGAATTTGAGTGCAGAAACCACTGGATTAGAGAAAAGGATAAACACTGGTATTCCATCTTCCACATTACAAGCATTAAGGCTTCAACAACCAAATAACCTCGCAATGAAACCAAAACAAAAGCAAATAGTAAATTTGTTTCTAGGTTTAAACAATAAAAGCTACTTGCTACATCAGCAAAATATTAATTCTAAGATTTTTTTTCCTTTCAGAAAAAAATAATATATTGTTATATTATGTGCTATATTTTAAGTATAGCTATAATTCACTTCTTGACACTTCATGTACTGGTAAAATACATTCCTAATACTCCTAAAAAGGCAAATTCCATATTCCTAAAATTCAGGAATTTAAAACATCTTCTCAGCAGCATACACAAAGCCCAAATTTGTACTTTCTGGAAACTAAGACTAAGAAATCCTCATCTCAAAAGCGTAAGTAATAAAATGAGAGTCAAATTCCCATTTAATTTCCAGACACTAAGTGTACTGTGTCACAAGCAAGTCTGTATGTTAGTGATTACTACTACTTTACGACAACTAATTTTCATAAAAAAATACCTATTAAAAAGGACTACAAATTTCAAAGCAAGATTCATTGTGATTTGGTTACTATCCTTTTTATGACTGCTAAACTGCAGCCATTAAAAGAAATGCTAAGAAAGTAACAGTCACAATATTGTGAAAAACCGAGTATCACAAAAACAGGAGCTAAACCATACAAAGTACTAAACCTCTCATTCATTTACTMTTAATTTTATTTCCATTTCTCACCAAAATTCACCCTTTCTGTCCCTTCTGTGATTTAATCACTGTTAAAAAAAAATCTCAATTTCTCAGTGCATCTTCTTCTGTTCAATACTAATATTTGTATCTTCTGTATTCGTAAGATAACACGGGGTCCAAAAAAACTCTCTAAAATCAAAACATCAAGGATTGCTTTCACAAGTGCTCACTATTTTTTATAGCAGAAYGATACTGTTTCAGCAAGGAGTTCTTCAAAGATTTTTTTAAATGCCAGAATTCTATTAGATAGTAATTCGAATAAGTWTAACTGGTATCTCAATTATTTTAAATGAATTCTGAAAAAAACTACTTGTTCTTAGGAGGCAAAAGAATAGACAAAAAATAGGTCAGAGTTGTGTATGTACTTAATACAGAAATGAAGAGGGCAAAGCACTGCCTCTCTGCAAGATCCCTCCTCTCCCACATGTACTGCAAAACTTATGCAGCATTTAAAAGCATACAACTGTGTTAAGAAAAGTAAATGACAATCTGGGCAGGCTCGGCAGCTGCCCCTTTGACTTATCAATTTCAGCCAGCACAATTTCAATCAAGTCTAGATAAAATATACTAATCCTAAATAGACCAAGTTTGTCACCTACCACTTCCTATAAGCTGCTTACTATACTGAAAAAGAGAGAAGGAAGAAATGCTAAATTAAATGCCAAACAGTAGCAGACAGTACTTGTTTGGCTGATTAACTTGTAGACAAGCATTACAAATAAATCTGAGCATGGTCTGCAGCAAATTAAATTCCAGTGCTTTTAAGAACAAAGAATTCCTTCGGAAAGAGGATTAGCAACTTTACACCCAGGAATGCCAGTTTAATTTAATTGTTCTACAATCCGATATTTAATATGCAAATATCATTTTGATATATAACAGCAAATTTGACAAAGTAAGGAAACAATTTCAATATACAACCAGACTGTCTCTCTTCTGAACTGTAATTACACACAATAAAGCAGGTCGAGGTTGGTTTTTTTTTTTTTTTTTTTTTTCATTATGAGGATTGAATTCTATTAACATGATTCAGAAAAAGTCTAATTAAAGGTTAAAAACTTTAAATGTTTTTAATTAAGAGTCTAAATAGCTGCATGATTAGAGCACGACAGTTAAAATCCCACCTCAATGACCTTCCGGGCCTCTTTGTATTTTCCTGTTTGCAAGAAGGCAAAGAAGAGATCATAAAGAGCCATCATGTCACCATATTCTCTGCTTATAAAATCTGAAACTGAAGAGAGAATAAAGCTCATTAATTTACTAAATATCCGAAAATTTTAAGATAGCCCTACATTAATAGTGAGATTCTCCAAGAAAAAAAAAAAAGAGAACAGTCATTAAAGAAATAAACTTTTCAACATTACAAAAAATTATAACATGTTACATAAATTGTTGCAGTTTGCTAATTGAGCAAAAATCAGCACTGTATTTTGTAGTTATCACTGTCAACAGATTGGGCAGACTATACAATGGCATTCTCTACTTGTGCAGAGTAAGAATTTCCCAACTTCACAGCTATTTCARACAGATGTGAACCAGTTGGTTTTTTAATAGTAATATGTAGATAGAAGCACTATTCACCATTACTGTTAGCTTGATGCTCTAGTATCTAAGCATTAGGATTCTCTGTATTCAAGATTATAATCAACTTTAAATCATAGAAAAAAATGTAGGCATCAGCTGCTTTAAGATTACACACATAGACATGCAGATTTTCTTTCTTTCATTTGAAAGAAATGATATACAGATCGTGGAAGAAAAAAATCTTGGTTTTTTTTTCTTTTTTAATATATAATCAATAGACAGGAGCTGACTATATGCAACTAACCCTTTTGCAGAAGATCAGCATCTCCTTTCTCTATCAGCCTACAGTAGATGTTGTGAAGCTGCAGGATTTTACCATGCTTCTTGTAACAGTCCATTAATGCTTCCAGAGCTGCAGGCATGTCATCCCTAGTGGAATGAAACAAAGCACAAGATGAAGAGCAAATAAATACTACAGAAGGAAAAATTTAACATAAGTAGCGTATGCTGAATGTACTTTGTTTCTTGAAAATATCAAGGAAAGTTCATGCATAAATATAATACAAAAGAGTATATTTTAAGTAAACCCCAGCTACTTTTATACTGTAATATGAATTTCAAATTGAAATAATTCTTGACAGTAAACTGCTACAGGTGAAGTTTTTCTAAACACAAAGACTATACATACTATGTAGGCACAGAAACGAAAACAGAATTACAATTTTATCCTTAAAACTCTTAACTGCATAATTTTTTGTGCGTGACCACGATTCAATACAAATTCATCATCACCAAAATACACAAGTAACTGTATTCAATTTTTTAAATTCTAACATATACTATTTTAATGATTACAGGGCAAATTTGTATTTTACACTACTCAAGTACAAACAAAGCTTTTCTTAATAAACACCTTGTGCACCTTATATTACTTTCACATATCTCTGTTCAGACATTCTCAATTTTCAAGTACTTTGAAATTTATCCACAGTGTTTTTCTTTCCAGTATAGACTCAAGGGTTTTAACTAAGTTATATTGCTTTATACTTGCTTCACACCCTTACATACAAAACAATTTACTATTATTTACTAATAATCACAGGCATTTCTATTTTCATGCTTTTGTCACAACTGTGAGACTAGTATTTTTCCATTTTTACATAAAGGTCAGAAGCCCTTTTTTTTTTTCTCTCTCTCCTCTCTCAATAAAATTGTATTTTGCACGGAATTAAACAATATGTTCAGGTCCTAAAAGGTTGACCTATGTATGGCATGAAGTCTAACTATAAAAGCTGTAAAGCCTTAAAAATAACCAGATCAGAAATTTAAAAAAAAAACAATAAAAAAAAGCAAATGCAACTTTTAACACTGTAAACGATGTAACAAACAGAACTAAGTCTCCTAGTGCAGATCTTTCCTGAAAGAATTCCAAACCAGTCAAAAACAAGAGGACAATTCAAACAGTGGCAATACGTGAAGTTATTCTTTGAAAGGGAAGATTTTAATGAATCACACATACATTAGAAGAAGCCACATACAAGCTCTAATAAGGAGCCATAATTGAGTAAGATTTCATTTTACATTTCAGAAGTCTTAGCAAAGGAGGGCCAAATTAGGCAAGGAAAAAAGAAAAAGACCCACTGAATAGTATCAGTTAAAAGGACATTAAAAAAAAAAAAAGCACTTGAAATGATGATTTTGAATTCCTGAAGCAAGTTTATTATTGATCAACTCAACCCCAAATTAAAATATTACTGTTAGAATGAGCCAAATCCAAAAGTCTCACCCTCATGTCCTATTTTCTTCTGCATGACAAATTTTGCTTTTCCAAAGAATATCTAGACCACTATAAACTACTACCTTCATCTAGAATAATATTTCAAAATTAAGAGTAAATCATAGAAGAATTAATTTTATTCAATTATACTAGTTTTCTGAAAAATGTGCTTAAGATGATGGATTTCTACCTTATCCCCCTTACTGAGCCCTGTTTACAGTGCATCTTCTGGCACCCCATGGAGTCATTTGAATTTTTGTCATTTGGGGTGAAGACTAAATTACAGGTTAATTTCAAAACTGCAAGTAGATGTTGCAGGCTAGATTACTGTCATAAAAGAGAAATACTATGGTAGGTACCATAGACAGTTATAAAGCTTTAGATAATCAGTATTTTTCTCCTGCTTTAGATGCAAGTTTAGTTAATACCTTAAAAAACAGTTTTAGAGAAAACTACTCAATTTCTAACAAGGTACAACAACATTTATACATTCAAATTRAAGTTTTCAGTGATAAATTTAGCTTTTGAGATTGATTCTCAAACTGCCATAGTATTGTCTCAGCTGTATTCCTAAAGGATTAAAGTGACTGTTTTTAGGTCAAAGCTATCAATAAATGAATGAATAATTGGCATGTCAATCCAGCAGGAACATTAAGAGTTTTCTAGACTCTAAATGTATATTTCTGAAGGCATTAATACTGTATGCACAGGAAAAAAAAAAGTCTGCAAAGGATGGATATAACAAAAAATAGAAATAATGTTTTTATTATAGGTACCTACTGCTCAAAGGCTCATGAACAGATGTACATTTAAGAAGGTCAGTATATCATGCACTGATTTTCTAGAGTTCTTTGAATCTACAGAAGTCTGATACACTTGTTCAGCTGTGGTCAGACAATTAAACATCCATTCAACAGTTTACCAGAGAACAGCATTTATAAAACAGATGAATTATAAAATAGGCAATGAACATCTAGAAACCCATAAAGAGGGTAGAAGTTCAGTCTTTAACACGAGATTGTGTTTGCTATTATTAAAAAGATAAAAAGTTTGAGTAAATCTTTTCAATTCAGGTATAAACTACAGGATATCTTAATTGTAACAATTACTTTTGCAAGAAGTTTTTACAACCCTGTTAGAAATGCCCAATAATGATAATGAATTCGCTGTGGGCTTCAAATTTCAAGTATAGATAAAATTTCAGTATGTTTCAGGTTATTTATCGTGAAGTTAAAAAAAAAATGACAAAAAAGAATTTCAAAAGTTTGAAAAAAGAAATCAAAATTTCAAGATAATGAGAAGTCATATATTTCATAATTTTCAGCAGTCTTCTGCTTCTTTTCTCCCCAGAGTATAACTAATTAGATTAAATGCTTGATCCAGAATTACTGTTTAATCAACACAGATCAAGTCACAAAAGAAATAAAAGTCCTAATATAATTAGAGCCATGCTGGAAAACCTGGCTTCCAACGGCAGTCTGTACAGAACAGTATTTAAAACAYGAAGACATAAGATTCATGCTACACTTTGAGCAGACTAGGTACTACCGGAGTTTTCCCCCAGTCACTCACAAATATGATCTCTCTTCAGGATTAGTTCCTGTTACACTTCAATATTTTACATATTTTTAGATAAGCATGTTTCAATGCGGGGGGGGGGGCGCGGAAATGATACACTCTTATTTTCTAATGACAGGAGCAGCTTCAGTCATCACCTTGTTACGTTTGATCCACATCTGGAGCAGGAATGAGTCCTAATTTGGCTTAATTTCCCAACCCAACTGGCACTAAGGTTAAGACGACGGGAGTTTTCCGATGTGCTTTCTGCTCAGGACGCCCATGAAGCCCTGGGTACCGTGGGCACAACAGTGCCCCAGATTTGCAGGGGCAGTTTTCCCCACATGCAGTAAAGGCACCGCAACCTCCAAAATCACTGAGCCGCCCAGTGCCGGCGGGACGTGCTCCATAGGGAGCCCGGATTTAACGCCTATGGATGCGGCCTGGCCTGGTGGTTGCCGCAAGGCCCTCCCCGCTTGCCTCAAGAGTGTCGCGCTAAGTCTACCCCTTTTAATAGCAATAAACAACTTTCCCAACCAGAGAGGCTGCCTGATAAAAAAAGAAGACTCCAAATATTGATTTTAATTGGAATGAAGTGCTGCAACATTATGCATAAAGCTTTAGTGAAGTGGCAATTTACCTGAGGGGTTTACTGATTGAAAAGCTCTCAAACCTGAAATCACTGGAGAGGTGGAAAGGGAAAAGGGACCCTCTGGGGTGGGGGTGGCGGGCAGCCTGGTACAACACACTCCCCTCTGCAAATCCGAAGCAGATGTTAGTGTGGAGGGAAATCAATTCAGCAAGGTGCAATCAGCTCTGCAAAAATTATTTTGTTAAAAGAGAACGGGCTCTTGAAAGAGCTAAATGTTTTTCTGTTCATTTGCTGTACTAAGGAATCTTCAAGGAGACTGGTGTTGCAATTACAACTAATCCTCCCCAAAAAATTAACTGTGTTGAAGGCTTTGTAATTTCCCTAGGTACAATTTAGCTGTCACTTACTTTAAAATTTACTCAAACATGCGTTCCGAACAGCACTAACTTCACATGTCAAGTGCTTTCCAGCCAATTGAGTCTAAACTGGAAGTCGGTGTTAAACAACTGAATGATTAGACAAGATAGCTCATTTCCCTGCTCTTTTGTTCAGAATAAAATGCCACATTTACATTATCAGACTCAACAGGATTTTCTGACAGAGGGAGAAAAAACCCCAGCGAACACTGTCCGTACGAAGCACATGAAGCCTGTCATTTACCAATCATCCTTCAAAAAGCAATAGCCATGAATGTAACTTAATTACGACCCAATGATCCTTGACGAAAAATCATCTTATCACTGTCCTGTCCCCATAGGGCAAATGAGACACTTTTGTCCTTTGGCACCGATGACGCTAAATTCCTAACTGCAATAGCGGAGTAAGAGAGCCAAATATCCTTAATTTTGCTGCAGCATTTAGAGAGTTTTAATGCAAATATTTGAAATAAAGCCGCTAAAAGTTAAAAAACCCCTGTCCCTGCTACACACTTGGTTTTCCCAAAGTAGTCGCCTGATTTTAAAAGCGGAACATTTTTAAAAGAAACTTAAAAATCCATCAACTTTTACGTATTACAGAACCATTTCAAACAAAATCACCTATGACTAACCCTGTGAAACCAAGACAAGGGAAACTGTCAAGACACAACATTCACACACTGGAACTACATGAGAAACTTAATAAACATGGGTTTACATAAAATTAACTGCAAACCAGCACACGATGCTTTCATGTACAACAGTATTAAAATGCATTGATCATTTTTAAATTAATACAATCTGGTTATGTTCTATAGAGCTTTTAAATATTAACTGACTTGAGCTACAGAGTGTTTTATTCCCACAATCTGCATTGTTTTCATGATTAGTTTTCCTGCAAGTTTCCTTCTCTCTGCTAAGGCACTTTCTGATACAGAGAGTGTGTAAATTGCCAATGTGAAGTTGCTGCTGTCTTTAACTGCAGAGATTATATAACATAACAGGGAAAGCAGAAAGAAGCTGGTATCAATTAAAAGTTAGGAATTGAATCAAGTTYTAAAAATGTGTTTTCCAGTTTGTGTTTCTTCTGGTTTGTTAATCTGCTTGTATTTGAGTGGATTTTTCTTAAGAGTTTAAAGAGAAGGCAAAGACAAAACCCACCACCCTAAAAACCAGAGTACTCATGTGTGTCTGGGGGAGGTAACAGAGCATCTCCCGTGACCAGCACTGGAAGAATCAGTTCAAAGGTAAGATAACACACAGGTTCTTCATATTCTGGCTGATTTGTAAAAGCTTACTCTAAGTTAAGTCTCCTTAATGAAGATTTTTTTTGTCGCACTATCCAAGGCAAGTCTATCACCAAAAATGATAAATCAAGATTTCACACAAGCACMGCTTTATTTATTCTGTAATTTCACCATTTCTTGAAAAATGGGTTCAGACTCATGAATAAAAGATCATGCAATTGAGGGCAGCTGATTTTTTTTTTCTTTCAAGTAAATTTAAGGAAACAAATCAGTGAGAGTCATTTCTTTCTTAAGTTAAATATTTCTCAAAATGTCAAAAGCAAAATATCCTCTCTACTAGAATACTAGACTTCATCATCTTTCGTCAACTGACTTTGTTCTGTGTTTTATGGCAAGCTGTTACTTTTAACATGCACTGGAATTTCTAACTCCTCCCRACTGAGACAACAGGGGTGCCCACCAGTATTTTAGCCCTATGTTTGCAGAAGTGTTCAAAAAGCAATCAGAGAACCCCTTACAAGCAATTTAGACGTTAAATTTGAAATAAATTCAGAAAACAAAGCACTGTCATAACCGCTTCTGTGGAATGTGGAAAAAACAAACAAACAAACAAACAACACCCAACTTCTCAAGCTGATTTCAGAGGCAAGCTGAAGACCTGCAGCTAAATGACAACATTTTCACATGGCTCTTAAACTGCAGGATGGCAAATGGTAGACTGCTGCTGCTGGAAGAAAAGGCTAACACTTATTTCAGTCAGTCAACTTTCCAAAACTTATGTTTTGTGACAGAAAAATCAGTGAAATTCAGTTGTTTCTCCCTAGGAAACTGTGTGAAAAAAGCTTTTCCCTTCTGTTCTGTCCAATGCTAGAGAGAAAGCAGGGTCTTTCTATTCACAAGAAGGGGAAAAAACACATGAAATGGAATTACTTCATATTGTACTTGGATATATGATGGATACAAACAATTATATAGGTGAGTTTCATTGASTTATAGTCAAACAGTTACAAAGCACAGAATTAATTCTTCTAAAAAGTCTAGTCTCACCAAGTGTGTTTTTTTCCTTTAAGTTTTAGCAAATTTTAAAAAGCTAAAATTGCGTGGAACCAGCACTCCTTATTGTTTGCCTTAGCATCCTCAACAATTGCGTTTTTCTTTACATCATCATATACCACTTCTCAAGCGAGACAAATCCAGTACTACCATGTGCGACTCTGCATGTCAATGCGCATAAACCAATTACAGAAAACGCAACCGCTTTTACTACATGTTACCAAGCATAATATCAGATATTTTTCTGGCACATTGGTTACATATGACTGCATTTAAATTACTTCCCTAAACATCTGTCTCATCTTGTGATGTACCCAAGGCAATGCTGCTGACTGAGAGGTGCACGTTACAGAGTTATAACCATGGACCAATTCATTAGAAGACTATCTTTAAAAAAGAATTCACAGGCAGCCAGCAGGAGCTTGTGACACTGTCATCAACCTTCTGAACACAGAAAATTAAGACCTTGTATGGACTGAGCATTGAGAATGCTCCAAGAATTAAAAATCTACATCTTTGTGTGCTGCTGATAGCGAAACACTAACATGCACCTTTGAGGCTGAGTGACAAATAGGATACTATGAATGTTCACTAATTTCATAGATATTATATTTGAAATTATGCCGAGAAACCACATTTGAAACACGTGAAGGAAACTTAAAAAAGACTTATTATTCATATCAGCTTTAAGAGATTAAAATCCAACAGCTTCAGAAGTGCAGCAAAGATTGTGCATATGGTGGAGAAAACAAAAAGGGGTTCTTGCCTTGGTTGCAACAAAAAGCATTGCTTAGATCCTACATTCCTTAATCCAAATATCATACACCTCCGTCTCAAAGCTACTCAAAGGAACATGCCACACCGAATCATGGACACTCCTTGCTGGGCTGAGCCTATGGATTCCCTTTCCAGGTACCTAAGGTATGAATGGACAAGAGCTAAAGCAGACAGCACTTACTTCAAATTCAACAATAAAGAGTCTTCCAGTATTAACATCGAATTATCTGAATATGAATTAAGAACATGTTAGTGCCCAGGGTCTGCCCTTCGGTTCACCTAACAGCTACTGTACTGCTCTGAAATGGGATGCTGTTTTGACTGGGAACATGCTTCTTGACCACAGGAGCTGAGACTCAACTACCTGAAGAGCTATCTCGTCCAACAAGAGACCTGAAGAGGTATCTTGTCCAACAGGCTTGAAAAGCTCAGCTTTCAGAACAACTAATTTCTAAGCACCTTTCAATGTATAACCATAGGATCTCTGCCACGTCCACAGAGCACGGCTGGGGGTCCCGTACAGACGCGGCGATGTGACGTACACGGCTGCTGAGAAGCTCCCCCGGGCACGCACGCACACGCTGCCGTGCGCCAGCTCTGTAGCTGCATGGGCAGCTGCCCCAACCCATAACACAGAGGAGCATCACGCCGCAGCTCGCCTCACGGTGAGCCCAAGCCCCGCTTACTTCTCCAGGTGAACCGTGATCAGCGGGGAATAGAGGACGGCGGTTTCAGCCAGGCCGAGGCTCACGATGGCGTCGTGCAGCCGATTGACCGTTTCGACTTCGCCCCGCATGGCGGCCGCGTTAAGGACGCGGAAAAAGGATGCCACCGTTCTCTCCGYGATAGGAACATCCTTCTCTTTCATCTCCTTTAGAACATTAATAGCATCTACAATGAAACAACACAAAAGACCCGTAGGTAATTTCATGCAAGGAAAACAAACTGCTATTAAAACAGCATTTCAAACTCAGCGGGAATGTAAATTCTGGCGTATAATGCCGATTTCAAGTTAATTACTACTTGCATTTCTAAACGAGACTACAATTATAAATCCACAATAGCACGGCTTTATCATTTTGCTGCAACTTTGACTACAAATTACAGATAGGAGCCGTGTGCCCACTCGGCACCGCATAACCCTGTGCAGTGTGCCCTATAGCTGCAAGATTCAGCTAAATGGATGCTTTTATCGCTCAATGCTAACATCTGCTAAATCACTCCATTGTTTCTTCAGCAGATGGCTTGTCACGAGGCCAGATAATAAAGATATGTTTACACTGTATATACAGCCAGACTAATGGTCTGATACCGATAGGGCCTGTTTGCTGTGTCGATACTAATTAGCCGAGGAGAGCCAATGAAAGCTTTCTAACAGACTGCATGTTAAAACATTAGGTTCATTAAGCTTCATTAGGAAGGCAGAAACAAACATTTTGGTATACGGAATAAGTGCATTTTTATAATGTTCTTAATTATTGCATAGAAGGAATGTTTTGACCACTTTACATTTGGCRACATTCATGAATTGTTTTATTTTCAGAGGGATATTTGTGCTCCTAAAAGCAAGCTCATCTTTTCAAACTGCTTTAATGCAGAGGTGGTCATGATCTGATTTGTTACGATTTGGAAAAGGTCAGCCTTGCTGATTATTTTTCTAGCAATAACCCTATTAAGCGGCCCAGATAAATTTCAAAAAAACCCTGACAAGAAAAAAAAAAAAGCTAAACATGAACTTATTTTATAGTATTTTACCAAAAAAAAAATTACATTTTTGTATCTAGTTTTGGTCTGTGTTCTTATTTTGTTAAGTCTTGTACAAAAGAAAGAACTCGATCTTTAAAAGTTGATTACAATCTCAAGTTTTAAATATCAAAAAAAAAGAAGAAAAAAAGGAAAAAAATAGAGAAGTTACCTTATAGTAAACTATAAAAATTGTAGAACAGCTTAATGCAAAGATACAGAAATCCAGAAATAGACATAGGTTAAAAGACACTCACCGAAATTTACACACAGTTTGGCTTTAAAATTCAATTAAAAAAAAGCATTAAAAACATAAAAAATATACTTTATAAAAAGTTAAATGATTTTTTGCAGTACTTGGCTCTTACAGGAAGGTTATGTTTATAGGTTTTATGCTCAGCCTTCAGCCCTTCTTAAGCAAAAACAAAGCCATTAGTCTAGGCACATACGCAATTTGTGCCATAAGTCATGATCTTCAAACTCAATCCAAACAGCAATGCTAATAAAAACTAGCTGCAGAAATGCAAAAAGCACTGAGCTGTGCAAATGTAAATGACAAGCTTGCCAATCCATTAAAACTAATGGCCTGCACTGTCCAAGCATCTCTGGTTGAATTCACATGCAAATTTGTATGCAAAATGTTCAAGCACTTTGCAGGACATGATATACCATTAATATCAACTCGCATTTTTATTCTTGAGGCAAGATACCTTTATTACCTAGCACAAACATACAATGAAAGCAAATGGATTACCTTCTACTCTGCCATGCTTTGCTAAGACGTCTACCAGCGCTAGATACTTTCCCACGTCAAGAGCAACAGGTGAATTCTTGGGGAAGCTAGAAGTGAAATATTAAAAACTGTATCAACAGGAGTTTGCCTTTTCTAGATTCAACTGAAATCTTTATTTTAAAAGCTACAAAACAAAAGAACAGCATTAAGAGCCAAAAGGAAAAATCTGATATGCTTTAAGAGATGCATCGTTAAGCTGCAACTAGAAAATATTTTCCATACACACACACTTGTCCCTAAAAATCCCAAATCTAAGACATCTTTTGAAGACACAAATGGCATTATTGCTCCTTTGGCAGTTACTGCACAGGAAGTCTGAACAGGCAGAGAGGAACGCTTCAGCCCACATGGCTGGTACAAGGCATTATTCTTTATTGAAGTTGAGAGTGTAGGAAACTCCATCTACGCTAACACATTATAGGTTACTATCTGAATGGTGCTGTTATATATTTGTTTTCTTTTTCTTGGAAGTTTTCAAATTATTTCTTTTGCTGTTTCTTTTTGTAACATTTCAAAAAGTCACTTTAGTCATTTAAGCTCAGCTCAAGGCAGATCCCTAAAAGGACGCGCAGCTGACATGAAGCTCCCTTATACGACTCATTTTTACTGCATAAAAGCTCACTGTGGGGATGGTGCAAGAGCAGCAGCACAGCTACAACCAATCTACATTATTGTGTGTGCAGAGTGATAAATTTCTTGATATTCACATCTCAATCATTTTATATGATTTCAAAGACTAACAARGTGGTTCTTACGTAATGAGCCTGTATTCTATTACAAAACTAGAGCAAATAATTTGTGTGTGTACACAGGAGAAAGAAAACCTGAAAGTAACGTGTAACTTTTTCTCACTGTAGCACCAGACCAGATGGGAGCTTTTGAAGGGAGAAGGGGCAAATGGATGGCTGATATATAAGAATTTACTCCACAATAAATCATGCATAACATGTTTTACCTGGGAGCTAATTTTCACTGCAAAAATATAAAGCTTTCAAATAAAAAAAATAAAATGGAATGCTTGCTCACTGCCTTAAAATATAATGTTGCTTAAAAACACTGCCATTCTAACCACAATAGATATGCAGTATATTCTGAAGACATTTTAGGTGCTATTCTAAAAGACAAACCAGGTGCAGACTTTTTAAGTTGAACTTCATTTTGGAAGCTACATCCGTTTAAAAGAAAAACACAAACAAAATACACCTAGCAGTTTGATCCTTCTCTCCCCTTTTTTCAAAGGCCATTAATGACCACACAAAATAGCTGTTTCTGATGTTCAATTACACTAAGCAAATTTCTTTCAACAAAAAAAAATCTTGACCGTTTTAAAYGCACATACATTGGTGGGGAAAACTAATTAAAAATGGATGAGGGGGTTAATACTCAACCTACTTAATTCAACAAGGTCTGTGTATCAGCATAAATCTCTGTGACATGTTTCAGTGCCGGTGTACTTACACTTTTTCTTTCAGGTTCATTGCTTCTTCTACATTATCATGTCGACAGCACAAATTTATTAAGGCTGCATAGCCACCGACAACCATGTCCGGTTCATATTTGGCTTTCACTTCAAGGGCTTTTTGCATATTCTAAAAAAAGGAACAAAGCAAAGATATGAACTGGAGGAAAAGTCAAGATGACATTATGAATCTTAGACATTCAGCTTGCAGTTACGTGACTGCTCTGGTGTATTTAATAGTAGATGATCACATTTGAAAATACAAAGCTATAGCRCTCTAGCAAATTTTCAGAGGGAGTTATTTTACAGAAATTCAGCTCTTCATTTCTAAAACACCCTTTCAGTTATCCAAGAGTAGATTTCAAAGTAAATTTTCTTGCTTTAATTAACATTTATAGCATGCTTTAAAGTAATATATTTTTGTTCACTCGCACATTAGCACCTTCAACATGATTAATCCAAACTCTGAAAGAGATCTACACAGAATTCTCAGCAATGATTTTCATCTGATGCACAGACAAACATAAGACAGACCTACTTTTTAAAGAACAATAAACTAGCTAATGATGCCATGGATATTTTTCTTCCCGCCTCTCMCTACATGGTCTATTTGTACATTTGACCACTCTGAACTCAGAAGGGCATTTGCTTCCAGCCTCATTCCATATGCAAAATCACACGGGCAGCTGAAAAGCGCTGTTTATAAACCGTATTTTTAGCAGCAGAATATAGTGCTATCATGTCCATGGCTGTTAGGGTTCCTACACATCCAGCTTTACAGGCAGGCTCATGCTGAACAAGAAAGTGAACAAAAGTGTGGTGATACCCCACAAATTACAGACACGCACTAAATGAATGTAAACTACAGCTGGACGCCTGCCGAATGAAGGCAAGAGACCCTTTATCTCAGAAGAGCTTTCCTCCTGCAGGAAAATGGAATTTCAATCCCTGCATTAACAACCCAGTAGTATTTGAATTGCAAATGACTAGTGCATGTATCAGTTGCTTGACAATCTAGATATAAGAGACCGGAGCCATGGCTTGAAAGGACATTTGGCATGTATGATAAACCTATCACAGCTGTTACTATCATTCACTTTGCAGATTATTGTAAACAAACTTCAGCAACCCCAAAACATGCCATTCAAGGTGTTGCTGAAATTAGTTAACCTTTTGATTTAATTGCTTTTTGCACTTATGTTTGATTTATAAGCATCAAACCATGAAACCTCAAGCACTGCACTTGTCTTTGCTTAACTGTGTCTATCCATAATACAGTCATTTATGTCCCTTTAAAAATATAGCTGTGTGTTTCCAATTATTGCTGCATTGCTCGAGCTACCTCTTCTTCACAAAGAGCATGTATGAGTTGTTTCAAGACATCTGTAATAGGCTGGTTTTCAGCTTTTCGCTTTTCCAGTTTCGTCTCCAAAGCAGACACGTCAGATTTAGCACTCTAAATGGAGGTAACAGAAAGAATGTCAATTACAAAGCACCCTTCCCCCGAACAACTTGGCAGATCACTTTAATAAGAGACAGACAAAATAATCCTCTTTCATAGTATAAGAAAATTTTCATCATTTATGATGCCTTTATCTGTTAAACAGTACATACTAATTGAAGATTTGAGTCGGAATATAGTTTAAAAAAATTAATAACTAACAAATCTACAAAGGTTCAATATCACTATTTCTCTCATTAAGCTCTTTGTGCTGAGGGGATGTGGGGTATAGAAGCCTGATTCCTTTTCCACCTCTGCTCCGATCAGATCAGAGATGTAAAGACCTGACACTACGTGGTTAGAAGCAGTACTGATTTCTATAGCTCCTGCCACTCAGGTAGATCAGCATAATTTACAATTATTAATTCTCATGCCACCACCGTTAATTATATATTTACCAAAAAGGTAAACTGAGGCACAAAGCTTCAGCCAGCTCCTAGCTCATGCATCAGGTCTATGTGAAAGTCTGGACAGTCTTCACTCCTGCTCCAGAAAGTAACCACTGACTTTTAAGTGGCAGATTTAAACAAYGTGAATACACTACCAGGACCTGAAAGCTATTGATGACACTTCATATAAGACTCAGACATTATTACTGTGATAAAAACAAGTGTAGCTATTGGTGAATTTACTTACTTCTGGAATGTTATCRTCTGTTTTTCTATGAGGAAGTAGCAACCTCAGATCCTAAAATGTAGTAAGAAATAAGATATCACTAAATGAAGAAAAACGTTCACTTTATAAGTAAGTATATCATACCAAAAATGTTGTCACGTTAACTCTATAATTATTATTATGTTTTCTGTTTTTTATTTTTTTTTAATCTATTTTGGAAGGTTACAAGATGGCTTGAAATGGTACTTTTAAATGTATCGCAAACTTTCACATGTGAGAATAAAAAAATACTTTAACAGTTAGTGCAGAATTACAGTAAGGTTAAAATGCTTACATACAATCACCACAAAGTTACTTATTTTACAAAGGAAAATATACTTCAGAGCACACACACTCCAATTTTTAGCTGCAAAGTAATTGCCATAGAAGCACAGACCTTAATTAAATCGGGAACTTGAGAGGAGTCCAGCAGTCTGCAAATGCCGCTGTAGTGGGTTGTAGGGATAACTACATTCTGCAGCAAGAGGTGGGGAAAAAAAATTATATGAGTTTTGAAACAACCAAACTGAAATTTGTCTAACAGAAATTATCTCAGACGTAATTCAAGTCTCTAGTTCTTGCATGTCATTGAGAAGTGGTCTGGTTGTACTTAAAAGCAGCAATTTCAAATCTAATAGATACATGTCAGGCAGGACAGGCATTATGTAGCAAAAAATGAAATGGTACCATCTTCTTCAGCTGATGGAAGTATTGTCTCAGACGCTCCTCCTTGGCCTGTACCTCTGAGTCACTCATGCTGTCAATCAAGTGATAAAGAAAATAGCCAACAGCTTCTGTGGAAAAAAACAAGAGAAAGCATTCCACTAAAATTACTGAGACTGTCATGTTATCAAGATTAATTTATAAGAAATCATTTTGGTGTGAGATGTCACCCTGATGAGAGGCTCTGAAATGGCAACAATGATCACTGAGGCATAGAGATTATGTGGTTTGGGAGCACATATCTAACTGGTGAGTGAAAGGAATATTAATTATTTTCAGACCCAGTGACAGCTTTTCAGTACAGAATCTTACTTCAATCTATTTTTTCCACCACTGTGTGACAGAAGTGGTGCTGCCCAAGGCCTTCCCCCCCTTTCCTGCCCGCCACCCCAAATAGTTGCCACAAATATTTTGTCATTGCTCAAAAGGAAAAAACAGAATTGTAACACTTTGCATATTTATTCTGTATATTTTACCCATTATATTCCATTACCAAGCTACATTACGTCTTTTAATGTAAATATAAAACAAAAATATTATTTTAACCATACAGTCAAGCAATGCTRAAGGACTTTGCTACCGGCTAATGAAAATGAACATTAACAAATTTTAGCATACAGTACCACAGTTTTTATCGATTCAGGCATAAAATATATGAGGTCTTACTATTCAGGAACAGTAAGAGCAGCAATTACTTGTTTTCTCAAAAGGTTAGCTTTCTCCATTAAAAAAAAAAAAAACCTCTGACAGGAGGAAAAACTGTTTTTTTCTAAATCCAGATTATATCAAAAGGCATTCTTGTTACAAAATAGTATTTTTGGGGTGTTAACGTACCATTTTGCTTCACAAAAACATACAAAATCAAAGGAACTACTAAAGGTAAAACCAAATGGAAAGCCTGTATTTATTTTCAGTATTTATACACTGATATTCTGTTCATTCTAAATCTCTTTTTTAGTTAATACATTTAGAAAAAAAAAAAGTCATCAGCGAGATTTTTCTTATAATTCCAAAAAAAAAGGGATCTCATGAATCTCACAAAATATGCTCTGATTATTAGGATAAGGATTTTACCCAACATGTTTTCAAATTTCACTTTCAAAAAGAAGCAATCAGTGTTTACTGTTGTAATCTCTCAAACCCATCATTACACAGAAGAACGGATTTGTGGATAAGTTACAATCATAGAAATTGAAACTCTACCAGTTGGTCCTGGAGGCGTCAGGCAATAACGTTCATCCTTGTACAACAGTTCTGTTATCTGGTAAGACAGAATAATCGTACATTGCAGCCAAAAGCAGCAAGCAAGGACAAATAGTATCTGAAATTGAATTCTCAAAATAATAAAGCATCTCTCTGCTAAGGTATTATTCTTTACCACATCACAGTAATTCACTAAAAAATACGAGGAAGTTTTTTTTTTTGTAAATAATAGGTTTTTCTTAAAAATATATTGCAAACTGAAATGCTTTCTGAGGTATGGCAAAAAGACAGACGTTCTACTATTCTGTTTATGTATCTTTCTACAGGAAGTCAGCCATCGTGAAACATTGCTTATAGTAAATATTAACCAGTGTCACTCCTGGAGAAGCTAAAGCTATGTTCCAATTTATCAGAAGTAGCCCATAAATCTTTTCTTTTTATATTTTTAAAGTAGCCAATTCAGAAAGAACATCACTGTTTTAAATAAGTGTAATTTGGAATGATAATATAKATCCCCATAAAATTAATTTCATTCATTATACATAAAGTAAATTTAGCATCTGTTCCATCAGTCTTATACAGACTGAAAGAATAGGCAGATTTGGCTTGAGCTGAAAAAAGGAAGGTTTTACCCTAGAGCCCCCATTTTCTACCCCCAAGTGCTCATGCTAAACCATACCATATTCTAAAAATCCATTTGACTGTTAAGGATGTTATCATCACACAAAATCCCAGTTTTCAACTATTTCGGGAATTTTGCCTTATCTGCTATGATTCTAGCATGCACCCTGGAATWGGCAGGAGGGAGATGCCCGCTCACTGTCAAGGAGCTGTGCTTTAAGCAAAGACAGAAAGCAGGGCACCCTCACCTTCCTTTCCTAATGGAAATGAAGACACAAAGCCAAAAAATATGATATGTGCAATGAAATAACTTCTCTAYCACTTCCTGTTCTACCAAAAGCTTGGACACTGTGGACAGTTAAACTACTGCTTTGTTCTGCTCCTTTGCCCTGGCCCTTGGAGGACAAATCAACACACAGGAGAACCCAGTACTATAATAAAAATCAAGAAGTCATGACAGGATAGCTCTACTACTGCACCAAACGTTAGAGCATACTGAAAAGAATGGAAAATGGAAGAATATGCAATAATATTTTTCATGCTAAGCTGATTTTGATTTCTTAAGTTAGTAATTCTTGCTTTATTAAAGTTAATGGATGTATTTACTTGTAAAACTAGCAGAGATGACAAAATGCACCGTTCCTCCTCTCCATCTGCAAAAGTGACTCTAAACACTGCTTTACGTGTATTGCACTTCTCCAACTGCCCTTCAGGAATTTTTTCCACAGTAGCAGTAGAGAATAAGAGTTTCCCTTTCTTTTTAAAGCATAGAAAAGAAAGGATAGATGCAGAGGACAAAAGCATCCTCTGACCATAACTTTTTYAAACACACAAAAAAGGAAAACAATAAATGGCTTCAGTTATATTTGTCTAATAAGCTCACAATAAATAGTTGTGTTCCTAGTTGCAACTTCTATTTCACCCCAAGACTTCCTTTCAAAACTTGAAATAAAATGGAAAGTGTGGCAATTAATTATCAACAGGTACAATATAATATCTAAAAAACAAACAAACAAAAAAAAAGCCAAGTGTTTCCCTTCTAAAAAAATAATCCTATCTGCCAGAATCTCCTTTATTTTAGTACTCTGCAGGAAAAATAAATAAATAAACCCACCCACATTATGGGATGTTGCAACATGTTGCGATATGAACAATCATCTTTATTTGTAACTTAAGTCAAATTACTTCCTTCATTTGGCTTTTCCTTCAGTTTAAGCTATATAATGTAAATATGAAAATTCTATTTGTGCCTTGTTGGTTAGTTTAGCATTGGTGACGAGACAGGAAGAAGCTTTTGGAGATGGCAGAAAAGGGAAATTAAAAGAACTCAGATGGGAAAGCCATAGTAGGCTTTGCTCCTGAAGCTACAGGGGGATGTAGAGAGAAACCAAAGCAACACGGGCCACACGAAGTGGCCACGTTTTTCTACAGCTACACATCATTCCGATTTAAAAAAAAACACAATTTCATGTAGTTGTATAATCTGTCACTGACAAAATGCTTTGCTCAAATTACTGAGGCTTGCAATTATGAGGTTCAGAACTCAGATTTACACTAATGCATTAAAAATACATGCAGTGCTTAAAGAACTTGATTTGAATCCATTTAGAAAAAGCTTTCATTTATAGCATTACTGTCATCACTTACCTTGCTCCAAAGATTTACATCATCTGAGCTGAAGAGGGCAGCAGAGGATAAGAAATTAAAAGCAACAAAATGATTTTTTTTACACTTGCATTTAAATACAAACTATACTCATGGTGATCTTATTAAAGCAWTAAAATTAAGATTAAATATTTAGCACAATGTTTAAAATGGACACTCATTTTGTACRAAGTGTTATACATTTTACTGCATTATAATACCATTTTCTAAGTAACTTTCCAAATAACACAATAATCTAAGCAGATAGCAAGGACTACGAAGTACGTTTTATCTTTTATCATGTTGTAGTTTTACTTTTTTATATTTCATTCTATTTAGCATTTTTATACTTTATTCTATTTAGTATTTCAAGAAAACGGTTTCAGGCAAACAAGTCACACTACAGAGTAAGCAATCAAAAAAATAGGCTTCTGTACATTAAATTCAGACTTTTAATATGGGTGGATGGACACCTTAAAATGTCTTTATATGATAAAAATGTCATCTCTTAAGGTATGATGTTCATTATAGAAAAGAACTAGAAAACAAAACACAAAAAAAAATTCTCCTTTCTTGAGAGTAATGCAGAACTAAATGGAAAGCATTCCTCTACAACATCAAGCTACAACCAAACCCAGAATACTAACCAGCTCAATAAAGTACAAAAAATGACACCAGCTCTTGCAATTTGCAAGGTACCAGTAGTCTACCTAGAAGCTCTGGCTTTTGTACAACTGTAAAAATTTAAGGCTTTATTTTATTTGGGAGGCTCAAGCCTAAAAGATTATTTATTCTTTCTCTTTGTGTTGCTACCACTTGTATTTGAACACGAGTCAAGCACAGATGCACAGAGAACAAAACGCTGCCTGTGAGGCTAGTTAAGCTTTCCGGGGTGAACTYGCTCCACCACTGACAGCATGACAATGAATTCCTGATATCAAATGCATCCACTTCTTGAAGTACTTGACTTCAAAATAGCGATGGAACATCAGGTGGATAGAATGGGAATACTCTGAAGCAGTAACTAGAAAACAGGAGCTGCAATAGAAATCCCTAAGATAGTTTGCTACAGACCTTGCTCACGTAACCCTCGCGGCCATGCCCTAAGCTTCTGTAWGAGAATCAAACTCTGCTCATTTCAACATTCAAGGCCAATGTGTAGCTACAAAATTTTACTGAGCTTAGGTCTTGAGAAAGGTATGCTGATAACCAATGTATTCTTGTTCTGCCCTACTATATGTCCAACCTTCATTTTTTAGGCTGTTCTAGCTGYTCAGCTTTAAAAGGAAATGTGGACTGGCTTCCTGGAACCACGCAAAGGCCAAGGCCAGGCCCAGCCAAGACTACCGTTGTCCGGCTTCAAGAGCTACATCCTAGAGGCAGACAAGAAAGAAGAACAAACCCCTAAACTGGTTTGCAACATTTACAAGTGGCAAGAAAAGGGGCAACAGTACACCAACAGATGCCAAGTAAAATATTTATTTTCCCTCAGAATCCGCAGTTTTTAGCTCAAGTGGTGATCAATAGCAATTTAAATCACAACAGTGGGAACTTTCCCTACTGAGTTTCACTGCTGAGGACAGTAGCTGTTCCACTTAAGGACAGTATGATTCTTCAGCAGCTAATTTTCACCATTCAAGTGGATAATGCTTTGAAAGTTATTTTAATCACATTCTGAACATCTGCACACCTCACTGGTAGTAGGGGTATTTCAAGCTAGTGTGGGCAGGGAAGAGTGGCAAACATTACCTTTCCAGTGCGAGCCTTATTTTAATGGAATGTTTATCTGTACTTGCAGATAGCAAATGTATTTTAAGAAGCCATTATTTTAATTAATACATTTGAAATAGATGATTCTGAGGCTGACTAATAAAGGGAACAGTAAAACATCCTTGTTCGACCAAAGCATTATTGCACTTATCCTTTGGAAGTCAAGGTCAGCTCGGGTCTAATTTACATGCCCCATTTGCACTCTGGCTTGCATTCTCTCCTCTTCCCTTGCTAGAGCATGATCAGCTAGACAGAACTTGCATTTCTACTAGGAAATTATTTTCACTGTACTCATCTCTTTTGTGTTACCATAACAAACCTAAGTATAGCTGCATTTCGTACTCATTACAAAATACTAGGAAATGGCTTCTGGGGCAGTTAAGTAAAGCAGCCTTTTAAAAACAGTGAAGTTACTTTCAATCCAATAGAGCTAATACTCTAAAGAAGCCCTCAGACACATGAGGGGTAAGGAAACCTGGGAATCTCGTTACAAAAAGGAGCAAACAAAACAAAACAGAAAAACCACACACACACACACAAACTTAATCGTAAGGATGAAAACTAGAATGAAAACTGCTACTGGGAAAGAAAAAGCTGTTCATAGAGCAAACTTACATTCTAAATCCCAAAATGAGGCTGCTCCTAAAATGACGCATTTCAATAGAGGGTGTGCTTGATGAAGACACTGTAAATGAAACAAATATTTCTAAATAGTCCTTCAAAAAAAACACCAAGACAAAAGTCATGTACATCAGGACATAATACAAAAATATTTTGACTTAGTAAATGCTTACTAGTGTTTGTAAATCTAGAAACTTCCCTAAGATATAGTAGAAAGAYCTGGATTTTATCAACTCTCTTAATATGCTTCCTTTCCAAACAGACCAAATATTGTAAAAGCTAAAACTTTTCATTGCCTTCACAACCAATAGTTAACACCTTTTAGTCTTCTGTGCAAATATCTGCACAGAAAGAGATTTCTTCTCTGTAAAAATTCAACAGGACCAAAGAAAAACTCTGTAAAAACAAAAAAACAAAACAAAATCTAAATTCTAACCAAGATAAGTTAAGGCAGTAGTTCTGGAACAAAAACAAACAAATAAAATCCTTAAAAAATCCTTGAAGTAGTAGACTTCACAATTTCCTTGTTTTTACAGTATTTTTCAAGATGTTTATTTCTGCTTACATAAACTGCCTGACAAGAAATAAAAATTACGTCTATATAAAGTGCTAGTCACTGAATTAAGTTAATAACACTCATAGAAATAACTAAAGGACAAAAAAGAAAGAAAAGAAAGACACAAACCTTTAACAGTCCTGAGCTGTTCTATTCTAAATGCTAATATTTACAATATTGGATTAATATTAAAGCAACTATATTACCATTTAAAACCAGACATCCCTTAGAGCTCATTTACATACAAGCCCTATCTTTGCATCTTTTTCCTTGGCAAAATCCTTGAAATTGCTATACCTTCTACACCCAGCATAACTGTCTTGCATTTCAGAAAAAACACTGGTAGGTGCACTCAGGTCCTGTGTGAAGTTGTTATAAYCTCAATTCAGTATTAACTCCTCTGAACGAATGAAGGGTTGAAAAGAGGGCCCCGCAGGGCCCTTCAATATTGCATGAGGTAGAAGAGAACTAAATAAAAGCATCAGTTCATTCAGAACTTGGGAGATTAAAGGCAGAATAAACACACACTAAACCACCCCTCGGTCAAACGCCAAGCGTTTAGAAACTGCAAATAAACATTGGAAATGTTTTATTTCAGTTTGGAAGCTGCAGAAGTTGATTTCCAGAGACCCTCAAGGCAAATCCCCCTCCGGCGGCGGCAGGAGAAACTTTGGGCCGGCAGGASGAGGCGCGGGAAGCGCCTGGGCCGCCGACAGCCGCAACCTGGTTTCCTTAGCAACAAACAGGGCTCAGAGCATCAAGGGGCTGACAGGGAAGCGCCGGGAAATGGCAGGATAAAGGGAAAAGCGGCTCCCGCTCACCTCCCCGCCAGCCCGGGGTCTCAGCTGATGCTCTGGAGTTTTCATCCTGTCACTGGCAGAAATCTATACGCTTTGAGGCAGGAGAGGCTGAATCGATACACCCAGAGAGCAACCAGCACTAACACCCAACCCTCGCCCGCCCCGGCTACGCGGACGAGACGCATCTTGAACTGTTTTCCGCATTGCATCTATTTTTCCTCTTTGCAATACTGCAAAACAAGTCAATCCAGAAAAATTCAACTGATTGATACTGCGCCTTATCATTCCTTAGGTGCTAATTAGACTTATCAGCATTCACTGCAGCTTGGTAGACTATTTACAGGAGTATCTTCCTTTAAAGCTTCAGTTCAAAATCAATTCTGTAGGGTTCCATGAATTATTAACCCTTGTCTTCGTAAAAAGAAATATCACTACAAGAATTAAGACACATGCACGCAGACAACAGCTAAATAATATATTATGTAGGACTAATTTCATGATGGCAAGACGCTATATAGCCTGTTGATAATACTTTCAAAACTGACCTTCCCAGTTAACAAAAACAGGGTGTACGTGGGATGCCTATTTTTTTGTGTAGAGGGGAAAAAAAAAAAAAACAGTTTCCAGAAGCAATTTCATTTCTTCATTTCTTAGCAAACAAGCACATTTCAAAAGGATTCAATGCCAGGATGTCTACATTTTTCATGGGTAATGCTTTTTGTTGGAATAAGAGCAAAAGATGGCAGAATGTAAGAACAATMTTAAACATTAGCTGATTCCTTATAAAAACTAATTAATATGGGCATTAATAGTTAATAACTACTTATTTTTCAGCATCATTTTTATTAGATACTGGAATTATCTGAGTTTTAAGGACACTTTTTAGAAGTTTAACATTAATTCAGCTTCTTACTGTGACTTTTTTCATCTTAGATGAACAGAAGACTTCTTCCCGTGTTACTATTATCTTCCAGTTAAAGTTGCTTTACAGTTCCAACAGTTTCCAAACTCCATGGTGTTCAGACTGCAAGCAGCTTCCTGTTCAAACTTTTGCCTCAGCAACATACAAAATTGTTGCTTAAAGTGGAATTCTTCTGCATCAGATTTAGTCCAAACTAAAGGGTTTTATTAAGTACACTAGTAAATATAAATCTTGTTAAAATTTTGAATTTAATTCAATTAATTTTCAAAATTAAATTTTGAAAATAAAGGGGCATGTTCCTAGTTAACTATGTAAATCATGCCATAACTACTCAATTAATGAAGTGACTTTTGCAACTTTGGACCTCAGAACAGTCTTACTGCTCATTAAGAGAAAATCATTCAATTAAATCATTAATTTATGCTATCACAACCCTATCACCTAATTACTCTGTTAAATTCATATATGCAGTTTCCACAGACTAACGCACCCTCAAATTGTCAGTATCGATCAGTTCTTTAAAGCTGATTCAGTCAGTAATAATTTGGTTCAGAGCCATACTGTAATTGGTGCCATGAAAAAAGCCCAGAAACAATCCTGCATCAAAGTCTTCAGAACCAATACACAAGAGAGCCAAAGCATCCTTAAGCCTTCTTGAAAGATGAGAGAATTTTAATCAGTGTACAAGGTTGTGATTTCTATGTGTGTGTGTTGATATACACGTGTGTGTGTATATATATATATATATACACACACAAATGTATATATAGATTTTGTCCCATTTCAATATAAAAAAAGATTTTAATAAAGATATGTTGTCTGGTATTGGCAGCTTCAAAGAACAGTCTCATATCTTCTCAAAGATGACCCCACAAACAAAAGCTTTGATACATCTATCCATTCCTCAAATATCCTTAAACCTCTAGGCTACAAATCTCAACCTAAAACTAACTTATAAGCAAAGTACTGTAGGTACACGGTAACATGCAACATTAGAGATACTTACACAGCGAAAGAACATTTTTCAGCTTTCCACGGACTGCTTCGTATCTTATTTCTGCTGTACAGAATCCAACACCTTCAACCAGGCAGTTATTTTCCTAGAGATAAAAAAAAAATCAGCCATTATAAATAAACACAGAGAAGACATTCTGATAGTTTGCATTTCTTTAAACACTTTCTTCACATGAGCATCCTTCCTTTCTGTATTGATACTTGATGAGAACACTGAAGGTGCCCTAAAAACATCTACACTACAGAGCTACCTAGATCAGTTGCTGCTGATCAAGATTTATCCAGTTTTTGTACTAAAACCTGGATAAAAAAGAATGATACCAGAAGCACAGAGGAATAGGTAGAAGTTTTTTAACCTCCATATCCAGTGACAAGATAATCCATAATAATTCAGATTATTATGTTTATGTTTTTATTTCTGAGAAGGAGAAAGGAAGGAAGCAAGAGAAAGGCACAGTAAAAAAACCATATACAGAGAAACGAACTATGCAACAATTACTTTTATTGTTTGAAGTTACTTTTATAGTTTAAACTCACCTGCAGCTGAGTACGGGCAGTCTCAGTATCAGGAAAATTTTTAAAAACATAGTCCGTGTAAGTTTCTGCATCAAGTTCCACCCCCAATTCATGCATCACTTTGAGAACCTTATAGATACCTATCAAAGCAAAATTGGTGAAAATTGGTGAATTTCAGAAGATTCAAACATTTCAAAAAATTGCACTCAAGAAAAAGCACTCCTTTTCAAAAATAAGAAAGAACATATCCATTTCCTTCACTATGCCTCCAACGCAAAATCCTGATTTTTTTAATTTTAGTTACTACACTAGCAAGAGCAGTAAACTCTTCATTAGTCTGAAAATTGGTAGCATACAAATTTATTTTCTAAAATGAGAGAAGATATGTCCAAAAATACACTAAATATTGTTATTCATTTCACAATACATCTTTTAAAGATACATATTACATATCAATGCTACCAAGCCTGGAAAAAAAAAATTACTTATCTGAAATTTATTCTAAWTATCCAATTATTTATTACAATTTATCATTATATAAGCTAATTAAGAGACCAGCTTGCAACATCTCCATAGATCTGCATAAAAGAAAATAACGTTTTTGTAATCAAATGGCCTGATGAGTTTTACTCTCAATAAATCAGTTTCTACCTGGAAATTCAGAGCAAGTTCAGGGCATCTCAAGTTCCCACAAACTCTAAATGAAACTATGTCCTAACTTGCACAACATCCCAATTAATGTGACCAATCAAACTTTATATTATCATTGCAGGTATGCATCTGAAGACAAAAAACATACAATCTTAAAGGAGTTCAGCAAATACTTTTCAAATATATTTTGTGCTTCTTTTTAATTGCTTACACTCTTTTGATTTGCAGAAACTTCCTACAATAGCCCCAGCCAGCAAACTGGCTTTAAACAGTTACTCCTCCTGTCAAAGCCTATACAGGTATTAGCATTTTTTACTGGTCTAAAAAGGATTTGTCAGTTGCTGCAGGACACCAGTACCAAACAGCATATGTTTTTTTCAACTTGCATTTCATACTTATTACTCTAAAAATGTAAAGTTTCCCAAAGTCCCCATCTTTGCCCTGGAGTGCCACCTATGGAAAAGTGACACTTCCATGAATATTTTATGCAGTGCACTACGGTGCAAATAATCAAATGTGAATTCCCTTTGAGCACTTAAAAATACATGCAGGCAAGTCACACTAGATTAAAGTCGCATCATCTGTTCAAGTTTGCCTTAAACAAAACTCTGTCCAATTTTGGCCCAGAATCTGCAAAATTTTGAATAAAGAATTAATAACACCAAGTCCTTCTTGATACCTTTCACATTTTGACAGCTAGTTTCTATTTCATGTTTGCAGCTTCTCAGAACATATATTAAGCCCTCTTACGTTAAAGCCTTTTTAGAAGTTCAAAATGGTATTGGGAGGAGTAACTGTTTAAAGACAGCACAAGATAGCACAAAGGAAGAGGTGCAGCAGCCCCCAGAGATTTAGGTTTGAATCTGTATGTAGCAGAATGCAGAAAATGCATCCCCACTGCCTAGCAGATATCGGTCACAGAGGCTGCCCACCGGCTGGCACAGCTCCTCAGCAGAAAAGGACATGTGTGAGCACGGGCAGAAGTCTGATGAAAACTAAGGTACAGCTACAACAATACCAAACACAGCCAAATTAACACCAAACTAGAAAAAGAAAAACCAAGAGTAACAGCAGCAAGAGAACAAACAAAGGAAAATGCTGGCACATATTTCTTCATCTCTGAGGTAGCTGATGCAGGATATTTTTCTTTTTTGAATAGCTAAACTATATTGAAAATCAACAAAAAAAARTCTTACAACATTTTCCACCTCAACGAGAGCAGGAACTGCTTTATTATCAAATAAATGTCTTTGCCAATATAAAGCAATAAAACATTCCTGATTCAAGCAAAACACTGTAATAATGTCGAGCGTATGCATGAAAGAGGACGTGCCTGCTTTTGGAAAATCTTCGCTCCTAATAACAATATTTGACAATACACTAACCTCGCTCACCCTGAAGCAAAAAAAAA